ACCTTGCCATGTGATGTACACCTCGTGTGGAATAGGGCCTCACGTTGCGATGATTCTTCATCTTCATGTTCAGCATGTAAGATCCTCTGAATAGCAAGCATATCACCTTCATCAGGTTCTACATAGGCATCCTCATCTTCCTTATTAACTTCCTCAATTGGCTGGTTGTCTTCATGATTGGAATCATCTTCTTCGTCAACCAACATAACAGCCTTTCGGTTGGGACAATCTGTAAGTTATTTTCCTACGTGTGTGTGGCCCAATAGGTTTAAGGCCCATAATTAATATTTAATTAATTATCAAATCTCATCCGTCTGATTGATTACTTGATGGACGTACCAGATTAAGTGAGAACCTCTATAAATTGGTCCTCTCCCCACCCATTAGGGTTACCCTGTTTTATTTTCTCTCTTCCATCACTAAAGTCGGCGGTAAAGAAAGCTAGGGCAAGGGGCGAGAAACCAATTTACCGATTAACGCTTCCGCTTCAAGATAATGGATTCCGCTTCAGGTATGTTTTCTATGACGATTATATGTAAGATTATCATGTTCAAGATGCTGGTATGAATTAAAGTTTATGCTTACACGTGGTATCACGAGCCTGGATAGTTTGAACAGATAATCTTCGTTTTGCCGTGGCTTTTGTTGAGAAAAGTTTTTCAACGAGACTGTATAAGATTGATCTATTCTATTTTCCTTTTCGTTAAACAAACTTGGCATGATGTAAAAAGCCTTGAAGGCGTCACCGAAAGGAAAGAACGGAACATTTTTGTAGTTTCTGGCATATTTTATAAACTTAGGTTATTGTCCAATATACTTGTGAGCATTTAGAATTTTTTTTTTTTTAAAAAAAAGGAATGAATTGTTTATGTTGAAGTTTAGACTATGACTTCAAGAATAATAATTCCTTAAGATTAACCATAAGGATTCTGCTTGAAACTTTTGGTATTTAAATTGGTTGACAAAAAGAATTCAATGTTGACAATATTGAACCCGTTAAGCACATATTTTATGACGTGAGTTATGTGTATGAATGTTATCCGTATCTTGTCCTATATATTTTGAAGCTATTATGTTGTAATTTATTTTATGTATGTGATTAATATTTGTATAGTTTGTTAGTCACCAAAGTGATCAAACTACATTGTTTAAAATATTCACATGCATAAAATTTCCTGATGCTATTTTATATGTTTACACTGACTTCTTGTCAAATATTACGCACGATTCCATGAGAGTATTTTATAGAAATGTCGAGGCGTAAAACCCGTTCCCATCATAGTCTGTACACTGTCGAGGGCCGAACGCAGGAACCATAGATGCATCTATTATACTGCCGACGCGAACTGCCCGCTACCATGAGAGTGTGGTACATAATTCTACCGAGATGAATGGACCGATCCCATTATAATAAAAAGCTTTAACGGGTCCTTGACACCACTAACGAATAAACGTGAGAGTTATAAACTTAAGGAAAACCTTTTGATGAAACGCATAGCGCGGGAGAAATCCGTAAGAGGAACACAATTATTCCGCGGCTAATCATGAAACTCGTCAAATCTCTACAATAGCAAGTCTATCACTCTACGCACATCTAGTCTCAAGTCGTAATGTGAAATAAAAGAATTAAACGATCAAGGATAACCCCTACAATACAAGTGTAGTGTGGTGTGAACCTAAGTGTACCCGGAAAATAACATGAATCTAGCTACGTACGGACTCTCGTCACCTCGTCCGTACGCAACAAGTAACACCTATCAAATACATGACCTAGGGGTAGTTTCCCCCTCATAGAGTTAGACAAGAGACTTACCTCGCTCCGAAGCTCCATAACCGGCTCCAAAGCCTCTCTAACACCTCAAACCGATGCCCGCCGCTCCAAAACTAGTCAAATAAATATGCAAGTCCATATATATATATATACACACACACACACACACTCTAATACTCATAATAAATGAATTTATAATAACTTTCCACTCCGCTCGAAAAGTCGATAAAGTCACCCTCCGGCCCACGTGCTCGGATTCCAAAAATTTATGAAGATATATTTTACCCATAACACCACAAACTTAAATATATGATTTGTTTTCAATTCCATGTCCAATTTCGTGGTCAAAATCTAAAAATACCAATTTTAAGGTTTTTCTTCAAAATCACAAGTTTCTGCAAAATCTTATGCTTAAATCCACATATAAACCATGTATTTAACTTGTAATAGGTGGGAATCACTTACCTTGTGTTGCTTGGTGAAAATCTCCCCTTGAAGCTCTCCAAAATCGCCCAAACCAAGAGAGAAAATGAGTGAAATGAGCAAAACCTCAATTTTTAAACAATCTTCCAGCCAACTTTCTGCACCTGCAGAACACCAGCCGCACCTGCGGAAAAATCCATCACAAGTGCGGTCCCCTTCAAGCCGTGCAAATCCGTTTCCGCTCCCACGAGACCGCTTCTGCGGTCCACCACATGCTCATGCGCTCCGCACGTGTGGATATCTTCCGCTTTTGCCACCCAGCTGCCCCTCTCATTTGCCGCTGCTGCGTAGCGCCCTTCGCATTTGCGGGATCGCAGATGCGGGAATTGCCTCGCATCCGTGGCCACCCTAGCTCAGTTCACTGGTAGCTTCTGCGGCCACATCGTTGCACCTGTGGGCTCGCACTTGTGTCCCTTTCCACGCAGGTGCGATCGCACCGGATATCAGCTGCCTCAGTACCTCTTCTAAGTCCAAACTCGATCCGTTGATCATCCGGAATCCACCTGAGGCCCTCGAGACCTTAACCAAATATACCAACACGTCCCAAAATATGATACGAACTTAGTCGAAGCCTCAAACCACGTTAAACAACATCAAAACTATAAATTCACATCGATTCAAGCATAATGAATTGTTGAACTTCTAACTTCCACGTCCGATGCCGAAACCTATCAAATCACGTTCAATTGACCTCAAATTTTGCAGACAAGTCACATTCGACATTACGGACCTAATTCAACTTTCGGAATCAGAATCTGAACCCGATATCAAAAAGTCCACTCCCGGTCAAACTTCCCAAAAACCATCAAACTTCCAACTTTCGCCAAATGTCCCGAAATGATCTAGGGACCTCCAAATCCACATCCGGACGCGTTCCAAATTCCAGAATCACCATATGGAGCTATTCGCAGGCTCGAAATCCCAAACGGACATTGATAACATTAAAATACACTTCAACCCAAATTTATGAAATTCTTCCAAAATGTCAACTTTTCACAATAAGCGCTGAAACGCTCCCGGGTCATCCAAAACTCGATCCGGATATACGCCCAAGTCTAAAATCATCATACGAACCTATCAGAACTTTCAAATCCTGATTCCGAGGTCATTTTCTCAAAAGTCAAACCTTAGTCAACTCTTCCTACTTAAAGCTTCCGAATATAGAATTTTTCTTTCCAATTCAACTCTGAATTTTTCGAAATTCAATTCCGACCACACGTACAAGTCATAATACCTGAAGTGAAGCTGCTCAAGGCCCCAGACCGCCGAATGACGCGTCAGAGCTCAAAACGACCGGTCGAGTCGTTACAATTTGTCATTTTAGAAGTTTAAAATAATTTTTTTTCTCACTTTAACCTTAATAGTAATTGTTATTGAAGATGAAGATTGCACATTAATAAGTATCTATTCAATTAAGAGAAATTATATCTTAAGACCTAAATAAGGGTAAAATAGCTCAAAAATTCCTCTAATTAATATTTTTTTAAGGTGCGTGTAAAAGAAAAATACGACAAATAATTTGAGACGGAGGGAGTACTAATGATAAGTAAATTTTCGAAGTTATGTTCTTCTAACAAATCTACGTAAAATGCCGATAAGATCTACAACTATTTAATTGCAACTTGAGAAGCTAATGATCCAAGAACTTTAGAAAGACACTACAGCAAAAATTCAATAAGTAGGGAAATATTGTATTTAAATAAGTTATTCAAAGTTTGGTTCGCAAAAACGATGAGTGGCAAACATTAAGGAAAAAATATTACGAAATTAATATAGTAGAATTAAGACAACAATCAACCAAAAAAAGACATTCTATAAAATATGGCAATTGAAAATCTCAATTCTGTATTGAATAACAGTGGGCTCTATGCCTCAATCTAAGATCCCAAAGCAGCTACCTCCTAGTAGTACTTTACCTTCCACCACCCCTAGCCCCTAGGCCCTACCCTACTCTTCCTTGTTGCTTTTTGCCAGCTGCCACCCATATCCAAGCTAAATACAAAAAGCAGCCTTTCTCTCTTCTAACCACACTTTTTTTTTATTAATAATAAATCATTAAAAATTATACTACACTATTTTAATCCTATTAAGGAAATTCATCTCCTTTTTCCGAAAGCGACCCATATATTAATCAACATCTTAAACATTCCAACACAATCAAATTAAGTTGAAAAACGCAGAGCCCGTTTGGCTTTTTTTTTTTCAAAATCAGTGTTTGGCAATAATTTATGAAATTTTTACTTGAAAATAAATTTTAAAATTTTTCGAAAATTTAAAAATCTCCAAAAAACTATTTTTCAAATTTTTTAATCAGATCACTCAAAAAAATTTAAAAACAACCCAAAAATATATTCATGTACAAACACAACTCTAATTTTTCAAATATTATTTTTACTTGAATTTTTTTCTTCACTTTTTTTGGAATTTTACGATTCTTATGTCCTAACGCCCACTTACTCTCTTTATTAAAAAAAGATTCTTGGAGTAAAGAGAATTTTAATACATCTATAATTATGACTACAAAATTCTTAACTACTTATAGATATTTATTTAGAAGTGCATAAGAGTATTTAGAACTTATAGTTTTTGTAAAAATATTTTGGAAACATTATTGTGGAAATTTTTTTTTTTAATTTCTTAAATGGTTACTTGTGATTTTCTTTTGGATTTTTTTTTTAAATTCTGAAAAAAGAAAAAGGAAAACAGAGCCAGTCATTTTTAAAGTGGAAGACTTTTTGAGTGGAGTAGGATAGTGTTAAGAGTAAAGTGTAGTAGTCAGTCAGTGTGTGTCTATGTACTGTGTGTCTGTGTGTAAAAAAACTCTCTCAATGGCACTTCTTCTTCACCTTCTCCGCCCATTTCCGTCGCTCCTTCTTTAATTCCTCAATACACACCGCTGTCCCTGCTGCCACCATAACCACCGTCAGCGGCGGAGATCCCACCTCATTTATTTACAGATGGGTTGCACGGCGTCGAAGCTAGATAACGAGGACACTGTCCGGCGGTGTAAAGAACGCCGGCGATTGATGAAAGAAGCTGTTTATGCTCGTCATCATTTAGCTTCAGCTCATTCCGATTACTGCCGTTCACTCCGTATCACCGGTTCTGCTCTTTCCACCTTCGCCGCCGGTGAACCTCTTTCCGTTTCCGATCATACCCCCGCCGTCCTCCTCCGCACACCCTCTACTACTACCACCACCATTAAAACCCCAGCTCCACCACCTCCTGTTCGTATCCCATCCCCTTCACCTTCACTCCACCCACCACCACCACCGCCGGCGTTTTCTCCGTCTCCGTCGCCGACGATAGCTTCATCAAAGCTACCTCACATACTTTCTTCCTCCTCTGTTTCCTCCCACCACAACCACAACCACCGTCAGCCTCAGCCGTTACAACAACGGAAGAAACCGTTAAAACTCCCACACATTCTTTCGGGATCAAGCCTGAGTTCATACAATGAGGAGGATTATACGTACGATGCGAAAGCGAATTCGACGTATTCGAGTACTCCTTCACAAACTTCCTCTGTTTGGAACTGGGAAAACTTTTACCCTCCTTCCCCTCCTAGCTCAGATTACTTTGAACGCCTCCATAAAGTTGATACAATGGATGCTGATGACGAGCATGATGATGATAAAGCTTCAAACTTTACATCTTATTCACACTACTCTCAGCATCAGCATCAGCATCCTACTACTGACCAATCATCACTTAGTGGGAAATCGAACAAGCAAAAGTTTGATTTTTTCGATAGTCATAGTGTTGATGATGAGAAGTTGACTAATGGGTCTGTTAGGAATCACAAAATGGTGGGTGAAAACAAGAGAGGTCACCATTTGAATAATAATAGTAAGTGGGAGGATAGTGAAGCCGAGAGAGAAGAGGTACAGTGCAGTGAATGGGACCATGATCATTATAGTACTACGAGTTCATCTTCTGATGATGATGAAGAGGAAGAAAAGGATGAGATAAGATCTGGGTTTGGGCCAACCCGGTCTAATTTTGGGTCAATGAAGAGTGAGGAAGCTTCTAAGATTGATGACGTCAATTTGAGGATGAAGAGTTATTCAGGGAGGAAATCGAATAAGGTATCGTCGGAGGATGGAGGGTCGTCTTCGATGAGTTGGGGGAATGGGAATAATGGGAAAGTGGTGGAGGAGATGGTATCTGATAATAGGAGTATAGTGGTGAGGCACAAGGATCTAGCTGAGATTGTTGCTGCCATTAGGGACTACTTTGATAAAGCTGCTTCTGCTGGTGACCAGGTCTCTGAGATGTTGGAGACTGGTCGAGCTCAGCTTGATCGCAGCTTTAAGCAGTTAAAGAGTGAGTTTTTTTTCTGTAGTCTTGATTTATGTGGAATGCATAGTTTGTCTTTTTATTTTTCCATGCCTTCTGATCATAACATAGCAATTAGTTGGTATTGTAATTTTTCTGGAATGTGAACTCACCTATCTAGTCTGGATAAAGGAGAAGGGTTGTGGTAGGTTGATATTCAGGGTAAAATTAGTCAAACTATGATGAATCCAGATGATTCATATCATTGGCTACAACTAGTTGGGGATTGAGATTTAGTTGATTGACATTGACTTCTCTTTCCCCTTGAGATCCAGTTGAGCAAATTTTGTTGAAAATTTTGGATTCTTTGTTTGGAATTTAATTATTGCTTTTTTTTTTGTTCATTGCAGAGACGGTGTATCATTCCAGTGGAGTATTTAGTACCATAAGCTCCACATGGTCTTCAAAACCTCCATTGGCGGTCAAGTATCGTTTTGAACCTAGTTCCATTGATGAACCAGGCTCCCAAAAGAGTCTTTGTTCCACCTTGGAGCGACTCTTGGCATGGGAAAAGAAACTATATCAGGAAGTGAAGGTGCTCTTCTCAATCCCGATTCTTCTTAGTCTTCAATGCATTCTTTTCGCTTTCTGGCTGTTCTATACCAATTGGTCTTTTATGAATCATTATCTCAGTTGGCTGGTTGTCTGCAAAGATAGAAAAGCTGTAGTGGATTCCACTCTGATTCAATCAAGAGTAGGGTAAAATATACTCAATAGTTGTAATTGGGTATTTGTACTTTAGTCGAGTGACAGAAGCTGGGTTTTCGGCTGGGAATCATATACATGTTATGGTAGTCAGAGGTGTCAAAATTGGACGGATCATGCTTATCCAAACTTCTTCAGATTATCCAGCTTGTGTAATCTAACTTGTTTGCACTCCATTTAGTCAATAATGGCGTAATGACTAGACTACCCTCGGTACCTGCATGACTTGACAAGGACAACTTGGAGCTATTATGAGATATATTAATTTAGAACATGCAGGTGGCCCTGCCTTGTGCTAAGTTAGCTCTAAATTCCTGGTGATATAGACCTCATTTTGGAAGACTTCCTCCTCCTCCCTTTTGTGGTTATTAATTAATGTGGAAAAGAGTAGTATAGGTAGTGTGTGTCAGCAGTTTTAAAATCCTTTCAACTCCTTATAGACAGGAAAGAGTTTCTTGACATGATTAAAAATTGTTCCTGGATATATGCATGTCTGAGCATATACTTGCTCTTTGCTTGTCTGTTTGTTGGTGACTCATGTCTACTTGATTTTCCTAACGTCTTCCTGACTGCTGCATTTAAGTAAGTACATCAGTGTTCTTTTTATTTGGTTATTTTGATGAGATTGAGTATAAAAGGAACTATTCAAAAGAAAGGAAAAATACAAGAAAAGAAGTAGAAAAAAGGAAGCAGAAAAGGTTTGCCAACTTGAGAAACTACTTCTTTGCACGCGTCTTTAGCCCCACATATTTGTTAATCCAAGTATTGTAAATGCAGGCAAGGGAAGGAGTTAAAATTGAGCATGAAAAGAAGTTGGCAACATTACAGAGTCAAGAATGCAGAGGTGATGAGGAAGCCAAGTTGGACAAAACCAAGGCCTCAATAAAGAGGTTGCAGTCACTGATGGTGGTCACATCGCAGGCTGTTTCTACTACGTCCTCTGCCATTATTGGTCTAAGAGACTCTGACCTTGTCCCGCAGCTTGTTGAACTTTGTCATGGGTAAGTCCTTATGTTTGGTGCATATTTGATTTGGAATTTATTGACTGCCAATCTTATTCAGATTATTTGCTGTTGGACACATGCATGAATTATGGGTTCAAATGATATATGGTTAGTACTTAAGTTGCAATACTGCTCTGAGGCAACGTCAACTTATTGGAGCCACTTTCCATCCTTATGAGATTAAAGAAGTTTGGTTACATCCTTACCGAAATTTCTTCCAAGCTTTATTCTAGAACCTAATCACCGAGCCATCTCAAGACTTATTTCCTTAAAATTGAATTGAATAACCTGAACTTCTCCTACCTAAAATTGATATCTTCTATAGTCATACTCAAAACATGTTGTTGATACTGGCCTTTTTCAGTGGGTAGTTGGAAAATTATTTATCTTTTAATGTGCCTTGCTTTTGTCTTTCTGAGCCCCTAAGCTTGTCCACGTTGCATCTTTCTAGAGTCTGACAGCCTCTCCAGGACAGGTTGTGGTCATGATGGAACCAATATTTCTGGAAATTGGGAACGTCTACTGTGCTTTGACATGTGTAATTGATGGCTAAATATGGTGGTGCTTCTTAGGCCGATCATTATTGTTGCCTTGATAAGCTTAATCTGAAAAGAAAGTAGTAGTGTTCTTTATAGTAGTTACAACTGAGCCAGGTCAAGTCAATAGGATTTGAAGGCTAAAGATTCAGTTTCTTTGACCACTGGAATTTTGACAATTACTATGATGATTGCTGCGAACATGTGTGCTCTTCTACTAGGAAGAAAGTTTTAAAAGATTGTCTATGTTTATGTTTTGAACTTGAATGGCGGCTTATGATAAAGTGTTTACTGTTTTCTAAGTTCTGCCCCTGAATAGTCCTCAACTGATATTGGTATAAACGGGTGCAGATTCATGTACATGTGGAGATCCATGAACCAGTTCCATGAAGTTCAGAATGACATTGTGCAGCAGGTGCGAGGTCTCATCAATAGAGCTTCTAAAGGTCTATCGACGTCTGACCTACACAGGCAGGCGACACGTGATCTTGAGTCTGCTGTATCTGCATGGCACTCGAGTTTTTGTCGCCTCATAAAATTTCAAAGGGACTTTATCCGCTCCCTTCATGGTTGGTTCAAGCTCACTCTTGTATCTGTCAATATTGAGCCAACTAATGGCAACAGGGAACCTTCAGATTCATTTATGTTTTGCGATGAATGGAAGCTAGCCCTTGACCGTATTCCTGACACTGTTGCATCAGAAGCTATCAAAAGCTTCATAAACGTTGTCCATTCGATATTTGTGAAACAAACGGAGGAGTTGAAGATCAAAAAGCGAACTGAATCTGCATCAAAGGAGCTTGAGAAAAAGGCTTCGAGTGTTAGGAGCATTGAGAGGAAGTATTACAACTCTTACTCCATGGTTGGCATTGGACTTCCTGAGATGGGACCTGATAATGGTAGTGTTTTAGATACACGAGACCCTCTTGCTGAGAAAAAGGCTGAGCTTGCAGCTAGCCAACGGCGTGTGGAAGATGAGATGCTGAAGCACTCCAAGGCAGTGGAGGTAACCAGAGCGATGACTCTCAACAACATTCAGACAGGGTTGCCGGGAGTTTTCCAGGCTATGACCAGCTTTTCTTCCTTGATGACAGAGGCCCTTGAGGCTGTATGCACTCATTCTTATGCTATTAAGTAGGAAACAACTTACAGAAAACTGAATACTAGTAGTACTATTTTTCTTTTTTGGGCTATTTTTTCCGCAGTTCTGGGCAAGGATGGAAGAGAAAGGGCTGGCATTTTTGGTCATGGGCTCTTTTCAGCTAGTTGGCTTTTTTCCCTTGATATTTTGCTATGTTGTAGATATGTGGAATTTTGCAATTTTGTACTTTATCTAGTGGTGGGAAAAGGAATGTTTTCTGTATAGCAAAATTATTTGCATTACTGCATTGAGGTCAACATGATGAATAAATGTATTCTCTTCTGTTATGTCAAAGTGTAAAAAAAAATTCTTCAACCAAACTTTGTTGTTGTGTCTTCTATTGTACTGATGAATCTTTCATGACCTAAATTTCAGTCTTTTCTGTACTCATTATAGTGAGCATGTCACACGAAGTATAGAGGCATTAGACAAAGTTCATTAGTGCTCTTATGTGACCATATCTGTTCAAATCCAAGTTCTGGTTGAACACTGCTGGAGAAGCAGCAGTTCAAATCTGAGTTCTATCAGTGCAAGTGAATAATATAATGTGCTTTTGCCACTTTACTGTAGCATTGAGACAGAGTGACCTCTATCTTTACTTTACCACTTTACTATTTTTCATTTAAGTTTGAGGAAAGGACAAGAAAGGCTGGAGCTTTTGCTGATTTGGGTCCCCCATGAAATCTTTCAGAATTCTACTCAATCATGAAATAATAGACTTCTGTTCTTCTTTCTCCCCTTTAGTCATTATTAGGTTGTAAGAAGATGCCCTTTTGTATTATTTGTTCCATTCATTTCTACCTGCAGATACAAAGGTAAAACTGGATCAATTGCTACATAATGCAAAAAATGACCCTCCCCTCTGTGTCCTTGCATGTGCATGCAGGGTAAAGCAAACACTAAAATTCAGATATATATATATATTTCTTACATATGATGACAAAAACTGACAGGAGGAAGCAGCTTGCATGTATGAGTATGACTAACCTACTTTACAGTTACACCACACACTTGGTTCTTGTGTTGGTGGGAGAAAAGAGACAAAAGGAAAGTCGGTTGAATTGTTATTAGTTACTCGGAGTAGTATATGTAAATACTGGTCGATTAATTCAGATTCATGTCGGGCCAACTATAGGAGAAGGTTCTCTAATTTTTTCATTCTCAAGGTTTGAATCCGAGAACTATAAAGAGATTTCATTTATTATTATTGAAATGCAAGTATTTGTAAGATATATATTATGAGGTGTCAGATAGGCATATGATGTAAATAGTAATTGGGTATCGCCCTTGAAGTCCGCCTACTAAGTTGGTAATCCAAACAAAAGTATTGTCAATGTATGTGTCTTATTTGGTCATAAATTTTGTCATCTTGTTCAAACTTGAATTGCCTCCACTCTCTAATGCCTCTTGTTTTCTTCTACTTCATTTCTATAATGGGGTGGAGTTCTATTATTTTTCTCATATTTTCCTGAGAATTATTTCTTGGATCTGGTGCCTCTGATGCACATTTCTATTGTATACTGAACTGAAGATCCCAGTACCAATGACAAAAACCAATAAACCAACTGAACACATTTTAATATTGAATAAAGATATCAACTTTAAAATATGATCACGCCCAACTATGCCTTATAAAAAGGACAATGCGGTCGCTGCAAATATAATCCGGTTTACAAGTCCGGAGTCGAATCCCACAGAGAACTAAGGTTTAGCTACAACTGTTCACTATCACCAAGAAGACAAGCTTGAACAATTCCTAACTTATAGATATTAAGATTCTTGTGTTTAACTACTTAACTAACAAATTAAAATAGTAAATTAACAACTAACGATACTGAGGGTTAGAGAAAAGATTAAGGAGGTCTAGAGTTATGATTTCCCCTATTGTCGGAATCCTTTCCGCTATGTCTTCTATAATTTCGCCTAAGTATTCTCTACCGATCATGAGCACTCTTATTATCGTAAATCTCTCCCGAGTAATTACGACAATTTACTAGACGCACTCTCCCGAGCTACGCTAGCTGGCTTTTAATACAGCTCACTTCAGATCGCACCCAAGGCTTCGTTATCCCTAATCCCACCTTTGAACCCTCGGTTATTGATCCCTCATATACTCTTGGAGTGGTGTTGTTCAACAATTACCTAAATATGCACTCTCTCCCGAGCTATGCATACTAAATAGGCACAGCTAATTGAGAGCTCTTCAACCAACCACAATATAAACGTAGTTGAACGAATAGAGAAAAGCTATGGCTCAATTATATAAAAACATAACAAGAATTTATCCTACAAAAGGTTCTATCAAAACTCTAGATAACAAATTAGCTATTCATAATAGTATGTAAAACTACAATACTAAAAATCATAACCAACAATGAAAAATAGGAAGAGGAAGGAAAAACTCGTAGAAGAATTCTCCGCCTTGCTCCCAATGTGTTCTTGCCTCCTTAGGTCGAATCTATGTCCAAAATATGTCCCCCTCACTTCAAAATAAGTTTAGGACCCCTTTTATACAAGTTGGAATAGTGTAGGGCTGAAATAAACTTGTCCCGGGCGAAATAGGACTTCTTTTTGACGCCTGGAAGGGCGCGACCGCGGCCAAAACGCGGTAGGACCGCGGCCAGACAAGTTCTCTGATTTTCTGCCGCGGTCAGTTCCGCGGTCGCGATTTCGACCGCGTTTTTCACCCTGTTCCATTTGGAATTTGGAAAAACGTAAAACAAAAAAGTTGTAGCCCTTTGAATTAGCTTTTCAACCATATATTGTGGAGCCCAAATGGAGTTCTCAGCAAAAAGTTATGTCTATTTTACTAGACAGTGCGCAATATGCCTCCTCAAGTCTTCGTTCGTACTTAATTATCAAATTTGACCCCCGAACACGATCCCGGCTTAATTCCTTGAGCTTTTACTCAGACTTCAAAGCTTCAGATCACTTAAATTCATTCCATAACATCTATATAGCTCGGAATCACACCTACAAGGCATAAAACACACAATTAGTGCAAAACACTAGCGATTAAAGCGCAAACTCAATTAAAGTACAGTAAATTCGAGTGTAATAAGCGACTAAAATATACAATTATAGCCTATCATCAAAATACTACTCCCTCCGGTCCAAAATAAGTGATTTTTGGATGTTTTCACACAGATTAAGAAATCCACCTTCTACCATTAATTAACAATGAAATTGACCATATTAACCTTTACTATCTCACATAAACACTCCTAACACATACTCAAACACTATTTACCCCAAGGGTAATGTAGGAAAAAAATAATTAATTCATTCTTGAAATCTAAAAAAATTACTTATTTTGGACCACAAAAAAAGGTAAAAAAATCACTTATTTTGGACCGGAGGGAGTATTCAATGGGCTAAATGCTCGGAATTGGGATGATTAATATTTGGTCAACAAATTTAATGCTTTGATGAGACACTGTAGTTATATAGCACCAATAAAAGGAAAAGGTTCCAAGTGGGCGTGGGGTAATTTTTTGGGCGATTTGCACAAATAGGATACTTCGGGTGCCTCCGCTTGAATTTTTGACCTTGCTTACCCCTTGAATAAAACTTCAAATTTAACAATTGTTATCACTCGCTTGTCCGATGAGCAATATTTTTAACTTTTGACCTTAAAGGTTTGCCCATGGGACTAGCTGAAATCAAAAAATTAAGACCATCCATTTTTAAAGTCGTGTAATTTTCTCAATTTTTTCCCTCTCTTTTTATCTTTCAATTTTGCATAGTTGGGAGGTGGGGTTGGGGGCCTATGTTAAAGTTGGAATTGAGTTGGAAGGGGACCAAATAATGAATGGAGAAATGGATCCAATAAAATAGCAACCATGGCCGTGGGGCTCAAAGGAAGAAAAATTGCTTTCTTTTTCCCCTCCTTTCTTTATTCTTTTTTTCTAAACATTTTGGTTAATTTTTTTCCTTGGATAGATATCAAGAAATACACCTATCAAAATTATTATTATTTTTAAAAAGTACTAGTATTAATTAAGATATATAGCAGAACACATTTGTTTTCCTAATACAATGGACTTTATAATAACATATTTTGGGTAGGAAATTAGTTATATGTAAGAAGTACTAGAGAATGCATTAAATCACGAGGCTTGGGATTGTCAACAAACCATTTAACCCACGTGCCCGGATTTCGGAAATTTTCGAAAAAAGTTGTTACCTATACCTTCACGAACTCAAATATATAATTTTCACTCAATTTCATAACCATTTTCGTGGTTAAATCTTATTTTTTATCAAAATCTAGGATTTTCATCTAAACCCATAATTTTTACAAATTTACATGTTAAAATATACCCATAATCTATGTATTAAACTCAAGTTGGGTAAGAATCACTTACCTTCAATATCTAGGTGGAAAGCTCTCTCCAAGAAGCTCTAAAATCGGCCAAGGAATGAAAAATGAGAGAAAAAATAACCTAAGTCTCGTTTTTAAAACAACTCACTGACAAGGTATGCCTTCTTCGCGAACGCGGAAAAGGCCTCGCGATCACGAAGGCAACCGGCCCAGGTAGGGCTGTTCATTCGGATCGGATATCCGAAATTCGAACCGATCCATTCAATTTCGGATTTTAGATTTCGGATTGGATCGGATTTCGGATTGTATTTTTTAAAATTTCGGATTTCGGATCGGATTCGGATTGGGATATTTTAATCCGATCCGATCCAAAATCCGAAATTATTAGGGCATGTATAAATACTACACTTTAATTTCGGATAGTCAGTACTTCCTTTACATCAACCTCCAAGTTATTGCCTTTACAATTGCTAGATTTAGCTATATTGGCACCATAGAACTCTCATAATTGCATAAACATGAATTTTTCTTAATGTATTGCTTCTTTTACAAAGAAAATATACATATTAGTTTAACTTTGAGGCATAATAATACGATCCGAAATCCGATCCGATCCAAACTTTAAAATCTGATCCAATCTGATATAATTCGGATCGGATTCGAATTGCATTTTCTAGAATTCAAAATTCGAAATTCAAATCCGACATGTGCTAAATCCGATCCGTGCACAGCCCTAGGCCCAGGCCCAGAAAACTTGGCCATCGCGAACGCGACCCGGGCCACACGAAAGCGGAGGCTTACTTGACTTGCCCTACGCAAACGTGAGGGCACCTTCGTGAACGCGAAGGCCAACCATGCCACCCCCACCCAGCTTGCCTTACCCTTCGCAAACGCGGACCCCATCACGCGAACGCGAAGGTCTGTGACCCAGAGCTACGATCGCGAACTCTTTTCTGTGAATGCATAGCACAAAAATTCCCCCAACCCAAATCCTTCATCGCGAACGCGAGGGTCCTTCCGCATTTGCGA